TGTATGGTTGTACAATGACACAGACGTGCAGTCTGAAACAGCGAACTGACAATTCTGCAGCTAGTACACTGTAGCATCATTTTTCCCAGTTGCTGTATTTGACTCAAGGCCAGCAGTATCTATTATAAGTGGAAGGAAAAACTGACAATGGTCCACCCTGTTTGAATATTTGAAAACAGACCCCAGAGAGCAATAACACCTTTGTCTAAAAGCAAATGTAAAAAAGACTCATAAAGCTCTGTAGTTATAGTAAAGGCTAAACCAGTGTGGGGCAGGTGTGGGGATATTGCCACAACTTGATACTGTACCATAATGCCTTTTGTTTACTGACTCGTAGGTGGAGTTACCTTGAAGTTGCTGGAGTTGACCCAGGAGCTGGCAATGCCGTCCACCATCTTGTCAGTGCAGTCTGATCCTGCTCCAGGTCGTGGGACTTCTCCTTGTCCAATATGTAATCAATGATCTCTTGGCCCACCTGCAGCCGTCGGCCCATGTCCTTCTGTAGGACCTGGGCCAGGCAGTTCCATGCTGGGCTCCATCATCCCGGCCTCTGATAACCAACCGTCTGGCTTCCACAGTCTGCCTGGCTGAATGACTGACTGGCTACTAGCAATCCTCCACTGCTCAAAGCAGCAGGAATTACAGTTAACAAAAGGCGCCCCAGTTAATGAGCGTGTGGCTGGATGACCCGGAAAAGGGAGAAAAAAGAAAGAGGCAAGTGCACACAGTCTGCTTGTATTTTATCCCCGAGGGCAGGCCTTGTCTTTGTGTGAAGTGCTCGCTAGCAAGCTAGTGGCCGTGCCCTAGGGATGGATGGAGCAGGGCTTGGGGAATGGCAGCAATGCAGCATGTGTGTGTCTGGTCAGCAGCTGGGGGAAGTTTACTACTCCCTCCCACTTGGGTTTTTTCCCCTCTTCTTCTCTTACAGGAGTCTGAGCCAAACCACTATAGCAGGGGTAGAAGAGGTGGTTTTGGCGAGCAGTGTGCAAGGCAGCAAATGGAGATAGATGGAGAGGGCTAGCTTAGAGCTCCATGTCTTGTCCCGGGATCTGACCTGGAGAGCCCTAGAGGAGTCAAAAGGACAGCAGACAACAGCAGTCAATTCATTAACAAATCGCTTTATTTAAATTAGAAACATAATTATTGATTTCTCCTGGTACATAAAAATGCATTACTTTTTTGATTTTATAGTAAAAAGTGTTACATACTTTATGGCCAAAAGTATGTGGACCTCGTGTCCTAAAAGGAAATCATACTGCTACAACATGCAGAAATATCGTAGACAACAGTAAGGCTGCATCTAACAATTATTTTAATTACGGATTAATCTTCCGAATATTGTTGCCAAACCATATTATTTGGTCATAAAATGAAGCTTATGACCATTAATTTTACCCAGCTTTGTACCACTAACAGTACAAAACCATCAAGATTTTCAGATTTTATCATATAAAGCAAAGAAATACAAAATTCATATTAGAAGCTGAATACCAGAACATGTTTGTCATTTTTGCTTGACATGAAGGCTATATAGATTATTTTTCTGTCAATCAACTAATCAATGAACCAATTAACTGCTTGAACAGTGTTTGTGTTTGTCCCTTTCTTTTTTCAACAGCACAAAGCCAGCTCCATAAAGGAAATGATTTCTCCAGTTTGTTGTGGAAAAACTTGACTGGCCTGCGCAGAGCCCTCACCTCAGCCACATCCAACACCTTTTGGATGAACTGGACCACCTACTGTGAGCCAGACCTCATCGACCAACATCAGTGGCCGACCTCACTAATGCTCTTGTAGCTGAATGAGAGCAACACGACTTTCAGCGTCGGCCGATGGCCGTGCTGTTCACACTGCACAACTTGCCGTCTTGTGACAGGAGTCTTGAAGTCACACTAGTGACCAATTGGTGACAGGGGGTCACACGCTATGGGAGCTGACAACGAATCTGTCTCCAAACCATGTTTTGCCAAGAAAACACACGTGAAATGTGAAAGGAGAAATTATGCAAACCTACACACAAAACAGCTGTTTGTTATTATAAAGATAGCAATTACAAAGACAAAGAATATGGATGAAAGCACACACAGGTAGTAGGGATTGTCAGATCTACAGAGAGAACAGGAGGTGAGTAAAAAGTAGCCGCCTGCTCTCATTGGCTGGATGTGGATGTTGAGTCGGCCAACTCCTCTAGATATTTGGCATGCTAGATTTCTGGCTGGCGTCTGCGATGTGTCGGTGAGCCGTTTTGATACGTTGTTGAGTAGTTCACACATAATGACTGGCAGCAGCCGATCGATCGCTGATTTACCCCTGATCACAGCCTGACGGTCGCCGAGCTTGTGAGCAGCAAATCGGGCTTAAAATCATGTAGTGTGAACTAAGCTTAACCAGCAGAGCTGCGGCTGTTATAGCAGCAGATTAACACATGGTTTTGGGATGAGATGTGCAAGAGTCACATGTGTGTAATGTTTGGGTATCTCAATACCTTTGGCCATAGTTCAGGGTAATGGCCAATAGTGTGTAGAATTAGCAAATGTTGCCAGCCACACACCCGCAGCTGGTGATGAGAGTTACAGCCAGTGCTGCTTAAACAACAAATGTACTTTCAGAAATATAATCAAAAATTGAAAGGAGGTATACATTCAAAAACAAAATGAAAAAGACAGCTGAATCAAGGCTCTGAATCAAGGCTCTGAATGAATCCCCACCCCCATCTGTGACAGCGTCAAATGCCCAGCTGGACAACCCACGGCTGCCGTGGAGACCCAGGGGCTCTGGGGTTGAGCTTATTTAGAAGCTTCAAATAAATAAGACACAACACCTCACTGCGGTGTTTCTTTACTCCACCTCCAAGCTGCTCGATCATATGCTGACTCTGCGTCTTCCCTTCAAATAACACCAGGCTTTTCGTGTGATAAGACAATCTAGCAGAAAGGAATGCTTGAAGAGCCTCTATCAGACGTGGGCCTTTTGTTCTGGGAAGTGAAAATCAAACCTGCATGTCTTGAAGCAGCTGAAGATATGGGCCAGCTTCACTGGACTATGACCTTCTTGTTGTGTCAGTGCGTGAATTATTCCCTCCTCATTAGTGCAATCATATTGTTGAAACACTAAGTAATGTGAGAAGTTTCCTTATTTACTAGTTGACTATTGTTGCTAAATGTATTTGTTAATGTAACGGCAGAAAATTGTTTCCTCTTATATTTAATCTTTTATACATGTTCTTTTATTATTGTTATTATTACTATTAATGTTTATGTTGTGTATAAGGTTTTTCATCCTTTTCTCTCATTATGAACTTTGTCATTATACTCTTTATGTTAGTCTGTCCACATTTACTCCACAGCTGTGATATTGTTTTAGTGTTTTCCTTACTTGCTGTTTCTCTCCTCTCCTTGAATGTTCATTCAAGGCTGGGAGAGGATATCTGATCCCAAACCATAAAAATCTAGCCTGTGTAAATGATTATTTATCCCTTTGCTCTGGGCCAGATGTTAGTGACTGTCCTAGGAGACAGAACCTCTGGCCCAGCTGATTAACGTTGTAGTACTTCTGTCATTCCCTTTTTATTAATAAATTCTTCAGAGACAACGGTTGGTTGTTACTTAATTATTAGCTTAATCCCTCACCAGCAATATACACTTTCCACTGCAGTTAACTTAGTTTATTTATCAGAGATAATAAAGATAAACAGTTACCTAGTGAGAAGCAATGCATCAGATGAAATGTGCATAGGACGTCTAGCTGAAGCTCATTTGTATTACTGTATATGTATGTGCAGCACTGGTCTTTCTCTCAACTATGATAAACCACACATGCTTTTTATTTTTATTTTTTAACAACGTTAGCTGAGCTCCAGCTAGCTCAGAGCCTGACCATCATTGCTAGCACTGCCAAACGAAGGAGCGCCTTGACAGATTCTAGACACTGCTAACATGACACATGAAAGCCTCCCCTGTATTTTCCCTCCGTGGCCATGAAACATTCATTTTCTTTGTTTCTCTCTAAAACAGTGGGTCTGGCAAACCGTCCCACTGTACCAGACGTAGCGACGTTAGGTGTGTAAGTTAGTAAAAGCTAAAGCTAGCCCGTAGCGAAGCCCTACCTTTCAATGAAACGTCAGTTCACAGCCGGGCAGACAGGCAACACAAAGAGAGAAAAAATGTGACAAGGTGGCGAGGAGGTGTCTCTACATCATTCCTGTTTCTACTTACCATATCCCGCTTGAACGCCGCAGCTGGGTGGAACATACAGCTCGTATTCCTTATTGTAAATACACAGTGTGCGGCCTCAAATCTCTCCTGTCTTTCTCTCTTTCTCTCACACTCTCCACCCGGAATGCTGCCTGCAGGACAAGAATGGGATCGTCGTGCGCTTGCGCAGTCGCTCCGGGGATGATGTTGGCACTTGGATGACTGTCGCATGGCAATGCAACAGAAAAACCTGTCGGCGTGTGTCATGGGCGTGTGGCGTTATAAAGTCGACGTGTGGCGCCATCTACTGGACACATGGGGTGTTTGATCTGTGTGCGGCGCTGTGATCGTCTCCGTAAGGGTATAGCGGTCTCATTTATACTCCACTGTTGCATCTAGGAAGATAAAAGGGAGGAGTGAGTGTACGTCAAGTAGCTAATTGTTATCTCATGTCTATTCAATTATGTGTAAAATAAAAATTTCAAAAGGACCCCAGACCCACAGGTGTAAGTAATTCAGATAAATGGGCGTTAACGGCTTTCTTCAAGAGACCACACGGTCGATCACGGTCATGCTGAAATGGAAAAGTTTAGTGTGTTTCTCTTGTTGCAGCACTGTACTGATGTATTGATGATGTTGGACATTAGTTAGTTATAACCTGCTCAGGAATTACGGATGAAAATGAGCTATTTAGCTAACTCCCATACATTTACATTGAAGTCTTAACTACAATGTGTACCGTCCCTGTTAAATACATTAAATAAATAAAAGAAGATGTGTGCAGCTACTTTACACACAGCGAGTAACAGCGAATGAAGAAGGTTTAAGATGAAAACGGCACAACATATTAAAAACAATAAAGTAAGAGGGCCGTTAAAACAGCGAGAAAAGGCAGACACAGAGGACCGACTGATAAGTAGCTATTAGTATTACTGCTCTTAACTGGAACTGTCGTAATTAGGCTATAATGTTACCATTCACTGTAACGTAATGTCGGACCTTAAAAGTGGGCAGTGGACGTTAATGTCACACAGCAAATGTATTAATTACAACCCCTAATCAACAATGCAGTTTTCTTTATATAGCGCCAATTCACAACAAAGGTTTTTTTTTCTCATAGTATTGTATATCTATATCCAAGGGCGTCACTTTGTGCTGGGGACATTGGAGGGCTCAGATCAATGGTGCAGTGATACAATTAGCTCACGAGACGTGACAAAGCACAATCACGGGGTCGCAAGAACAAGACATGAAGATAATAAATAAATAAATATTCACTGCTGCGATATATGATTTGGGGGGTCTGGGGGTCCTCCCCCTGAAGATTTTGAGCATTTAACACTTCATTTCCTGCATTCTGGAGACATTTTCATCACTAACTTATGGTTGAACAGTGTATTTATATCAAGGGAAACACAAAATTCTTGGACAATGTACATTTTTTTCTTTTATTTACATTGCATTGCATATTTTGTTATTGTGCAAATAAACATTTCTCAAATCATCTTCATTTGTTTTTTTTTTAACATTTGTTGCTATTTTTCAGAAACATGTTGACAAATACACTGCTCAAAAAAATAAAGGGAACACTTAAACAACACAATGTAACTCCAAGTCAATCACACTCCTGTGAAATCAAACTGTCCACTTAGGAAGCAACACTGATTGACAATCAATTTCACATGCTGTTGTGCAAATGGAACAGACAACAGGTGGAAATTATAGGCAATTAGCAAGACACCCCCAATAAAGGAGTGGCTCTGCAGGTGGTGACCACAGACCACCTCTCAGTTCCTATGCTTCCTGGCTGATGTTTTGGTCACTTTTGAATGCTGGCGGTGCTTTCACTCTAGTGGTAGCATGAGACGGAGTCTACAACCCACACAAGTGGCTCAGGTAGTGCAGCTCATCCAGGATGGCACATCAATGCGAGCTGTGGCAAGAAGGTTTGCTGTGTCTGTCAGCGTAATGTCCAGAGCACGGAGGCGCTACCAGGAGACAGGCCAGAACATCAGGAGACGTGGAGGAGGCCGTAGGAGGGCAACAACCCAGCAGCAGGACCGCTACCTCCGCCTTTGTGCAAGGAGGAGCAGGAGGAGCACTGCCAGAGCCCTGCAAAATGACCTCCAGCAGGGGGTTGTGCTTACAGCCCAACACCGTGCAGGACGTTTGGCATTTGCCAGAGAACACCAAGATTGGCAAATTCGCCACTGGCGCCCTGTGCTCTTCACAGATGAAAGCAGGTTCACACTGAGCACATGTGACAGACGTTCTGCTGCCTGCAACAGCCTCCAGCATGACCGGTTTGGCGGCGGGTCAGTAATGGTGTGGGGTGGCATTTCTTTGGGGTGCCGCACAGCCCTCCATGTGCTCACCAGAGGTAGCCTGACTGCCATTAGGTACCGAGATGAGATCCTCAGACCCCTTGTGAGACCATATGCTGGTGCGGTTGGCCCTGGGTTCCTCCTAATGCAACACAATGCTAGACCTCATGTGGCTGGAGTGTGTCAGCAGTTCCTGCAAGAGGAAGGCATTGATGCTATGGACCGGCCCGCCCCGGTCCCCAGACCTGAATCCAATTGAGCACATCTGGGACATCATGTCTCGCTCCATCCACCAACGCCACGTTGCACCACAGATGCTTCAGTCCAGGTCTGGGAGGAGGTCCCTCAGGAGACCGTCCGCCACCTCATCAGGAGCATGCCCAGGCGTTGTAGGGAGGTCATACAGGCACGTGGAGGCCACACACACTACTGAGCCTCATTTTGACTTGTTTTAAGGACATTACATCAAAGTTGGATCGGCCTGTAGTGTGGTTTTCCACTTTTTTTTTTTTTTGAGTGTGACTCCAAATCCAGACCTCCATGGGTTGATAAATTTGATTTCCATTGATCATTTTTTGTGTGATTTTGTTGTCAGCACATTCAACTATGTAAAGAAAGGAGTATTTAATGAGATTATTTCATTCATTCAGATCTAGGATGTGTTATTTTAGTGTTCCCTTTATTTTTTTGAGCAGTGTACTTTCAAAAAGTGGTGGGGACGTGTCCCCAGCGTCCCCAGTGTAAATGACACCTATGTCTATATCTGAAAAAGTAACATTGTGTTGAAACGCAGTGGGAACATAAGGGCTCAGATTAGGGGTGGGACGATCCACTTGACTCAGGAGATGTGATGATGCCCAATTCTGTGTTCATGAGAACAAGACGAGAACAATATTTTAACACTATTTTGAAGTAATGTAACATCAGATATCATGGACTCCACCCACCCTCCCCTCTGGCAGAAGGTTGCGCAGCCTAAAAGCAAGAACAACAAGGCTAACATGCAACTTCTTTCCAGAGGCTGTGAGGCTTATGTACTCCCTGCCCTTTGCTCTCACATTGCTGCTATTGCACTAGCCACTTTAATGATGCCATACGGTTTTTAAATAGTGTTTATTATGGTTAAGATTATCTAAATGTTTTTATATTAGGACTATCTTAATTTATTTATTCTGTACACTGCTGGTCCAGGGAAATTAATTTCATTCCTTCATGCTTTACATGTTTGAATGACAAAGAACTGAATCTGACTGATATGCAATCTGCGTGACCGCTGACTTAACAGATAAGGCACCAGGCTTAACTAAACCTGGCTGTTAGCCTGCTCCAGACCAGGCTAGCCGCACAGAATAAATCTCCACGGTAATTTATGTGCTACTGCTTTTATGAAACCGAGTCACAGCCTAATTCAGCAAAGATAACTGGAAAATCCCGGATTAATCCGTTATCTTGGTTTTGTGAAAGAGCCATCAGGACCCTGAAACATCATTGTTGTCTTTACACCTGTGCTTTCTTACTGTGACATGTCTTATTGTGCTGGCGGTTTGTGTATGCAAATGCTTTTTTGGTTGCTTGTTGTTGAAAATGATCACATCCAGAGTATTTAAAGGACTGCTCAAGAGCACATTTTTACATCATTTATTTTTAAAGATCATACTTTACATAGTAGAAATTTAACCACATTTTTAGACAAGCGGTTATTAAGCAAAAATAATAATGTTGCTGTCTGTTCTATTAACATTCCAGCCCTGTATGGTAAAGGAAAGGGCTTAGTCCAGGACTGAAATGCACATTTACTGTTAAATAAGTCCAGGCAAAATTGCTGCCCATTAATCAGGATCATTATGAAGGATTTGCAAACACCATCCAAGGTACCCACTGATGTCCTACCCACAATTACGGTGGAATATTTCACAAGAGCTTCTTGTAACGTGATAGCCACATACTGAAAGACATTCTGTGATTTCTAAACACAGTTCAACGTTGTCCTGTGACTCTCAAAGCAAATGGAAGACCACACATGATCCTGATACATCTCGGTACTTTGACAGAGAACCAAGTCCACAATAAAACAAGACTTTCACTCCGCCTCTGCGTCCTCTTCAGAGGGTTCCTCGCTCTTTGAGTCATCATCATCATCCTCCTCCTCATTGTCACTATCTTCCTCCTCTGAGGAGGAGCACTCTTCCTCTTTCTCTACAGCTGGCATCTTAATGACAATTTCATCATCTGCATCGTCGTCGTCAATGACCATGGACTTCCTCCTCTCCAGGAGAGACGGGGTGCAGACTGGTGTGGTGTCCTGAAGAGGAAGAGGGGAGCTCATTAGCCAAACAGGGTCATTCTGGTACAGAGGGGATGTTTATTTGTTTTGGTCAACTTTTCCCTCGAACCTTTGCAGTTTTGATTTTCCCTGGAGTTAATAGTATGTTGGTACATGGGTTTTATCGCGCAGCCACCAAGAAACACGCAATAAGCTTTACGCACCACAGTACTATAGGCACAGATATCTGACCCCAGATCACAGGTACACCTGGGGTCATTTTCAGTCTGGGCCAAAGTTAAATGTATATTCAGTTATGCAAAGTGGGTTAAAATAAAGGGCAACTGGACTTGGTTGAAGATACTCAAAGGCTTTATCCAAGACTTCAGTTCACTAAGAAAGCTTGGATGGGAGGCAAAACGTTTGAGAATCTTCAGCCAAGTCTGGTTGCCCCTGATTTTAACCAACCTTGGATAACTATGACATGGATGACTCTTGAGAATCTTCACAGACATCATCATAAGTGTTGGCCTTACATCACTACATGTAGACGCATTCATGGAATCAGACAGCTTTTTCTTCTGAGGGACCTGGGCCGCCTGGAAAAGCAGAGAGAACATTGAAGGTTAACATGATGCCAACAAAAACAGCTCTGCCATGTTACCTGTGGAACTGCCCATCATCATTTTTTTTTTCTGAAAAATTTATTTCTGAATTTTGACAACACAGTTCTATTCTTAATCAGAAGGGCAAAGTTTTGGTCAAATATTAAGTTTTTTAGATTAGATTTTTAAGACCGATAGTGATCTTGATATTTGAGGATTTTAAATCCAATATATCAGACACAGATTATTTCTAACAACTGTCGTGTAGTTATGATAGTACTTTGAACAAGAGTGCAAGTGTACACTGTAGCCAACAGAGGAGTGCCCTCTGGTGGACAAACTATACAACTACAACATTCATTTTTAATTGTCATTTATCAGCTGTACAAACAGTTAAATAAATGTATCTGCAGTTAGCTCATATTGAAGCTCTAATGATATATTTAAAGGATAATTTCTGCATTTTTAAAACTATCACAGATTCCAAAACTTTGTGCTTATTACTTTTTCATTCTAGAAGAATTAATTTTTTTATAGCTCAGATAAATAGAACAGCTAGCAGCCATATACTATCTCACTCACAAATCCGGGGAAGTCATAGTCAATGCCGCGTGCTGCAAGCCTCTTGCGGAGCTTCGATTCTTTCCGCAGGAGTTTGTCTTTCAGCTTGGTGATCTGCTCTTCTGTGTGTTTCTTGTTGTAGCGGGCTACAGCAGGATGTGAGGGTTTTTTAAATTCCCTTTCGGAGCCAACAAACAGCTTTTCATGCACTTTCTCTGGTGGCATCACGTTACCTGGGAAACAGCAATGATGATGAGCTTAAAGCAATTTACCTTTACAGCGAGTACATGGATATATAACAAAAGTCTAAACAAAAACTGTGAAAATTAGGCATAAAATAATATGTTCTCTGTAATCACTTCTATTAACATCTTAACTCTGTCGATACCAATTATTCAAGTTAATATAGGTAACATTAGTATCAAGGCACAGCCAGTATTCTAAGAGGTAATGTTTTTATGCAAATTAACGTGTGTGACGCAGGGAAACAAGAGTCATGCCAGTCATTAACAGTCTTGTACTTGAACAATACTCACATTTGATGAGTCTCTCACCCATGAGGTAATTATTCATGGTCTCTGCAACAATTTTGGCTACTTCATCACATTCAAACTCAACAAATGCATAGCCTTTGCTTCCACCTGTCTGCAGGTAAAGTAGAGAAAGTACATATGAGACAGTGATAGACAGCGGGAAATTATCACACATCAAGGGTTTCATACCAAACATCTGCATTTGATTATAGTGTTTTTATATTGCAGATTCAAATTATTTTAGTTTTTCCTCATGCTTTTGTTGGTACATGGGTTTTATCGCTCTGCCAATAGGTGAGCAGGAGATAAGCTTAACGCACCGCAGTACTTTAGGCTCAGTTATCTGACTTCAGACCACTGTTACATCTGAGATCATTTTCAGCCTGAGCCAACATTCTGCAGGATCACTTCCACAATGTCCAGGCAACCCTATGGGACAACTGGGTTGATCTAAAATTTCAAAACAGCAAACTGAGAATTGTCTATTCTTGATTCAGTTGTTTTTCGCACACTCAGGTTCTAATTGATTCAGTCAACAATTACTGATAGGCGGTAGTGTCTCATGTTGTACAATGTAAATGTATGGAACAGACTGCATTCATGTGTCTGAATGTGAAGTCCGTATGTAGTTATTGTTTGTTACTGATGCCCAAGACAAACGTGCTACCTTTTTACTCCTGGACAGCCGCAGCCTCAGGACTTTACCAAACTGTCCGAAGTACGTTTTGAGCTGAGGTTCAAACAGCCCAAGTGGCAGGTGCCCGACATAAATCACTCCAGGGGTCAAATGGCTCCCCTGTAAAAAAAAAAATAAAAATACAAAAAAAAAAAAAACACAATAAACAAAAAGGACAAAGTTACAGTTTCAGGGTCCTGGATCCTGGACATGTGAAGAAAACAGAGTACCTGCGCTTCACAGTCACAATGTCTGCTGTGAAAGTGGCCCCTCTTTCCCTAAACAGCTTCTGATGTGATTTTAAGGACAAGCAACAAACAAAGAGCACATCACACATACTGTAATATGAAGAGCTGTTTGATCCCAGGATCAATAACCTGTGTATCTATCTATCTATATCTATCTATATCTATATCTATCTATCTATATCTATATCTATATATATATATATATATATCTCACACACGGAATGATCTTTACATGCACAATAATACATGTGTATCAATAAAGAGGGGGGAGTGTTTGTGATTTAGCATCACAGCTAGCCGCCAGCCGTGTGTGAAGCTGACGGTGCTGACTCGACATTTTGACTGCGATTCTCACGGTCAGCTATGGAAAAAGCAACGGCCGAGCAGCGGTAGTCTTGCCCGCATCAAAGTTTGGTACCCTGACGAAATAAAAATCAGTAAAAACACTATGGAGTCACCATTTTAATTCATTACCAGCTCTCGCGGCACTGGTCTCTATATGCAACGTTAGCTAAGCCGTTATAAGGTCTCCATTCTCTTAACAGCCACTAACATAGGAGTATTTGACCTCGCTAACGGTTGCAGTCAGAAAAGCTGACATTTCCAATAATATGATAACAAAATCCGACGGGTAAGGGAATAAGGTAAAGCCTGACAAGATACTGTTGGATAAACGCAGAGCCCTCGTGTAGTTAACGCTAACGTGAATAACGTTCCACACAGGGCCACAGTTCCATCTCTACGCACCTTGCTGGATTTGTTCTTCTTCGCCTCCTGCACCTTCTTCTTGAACTCAGACTCCTGCTTGGGGTTCAGAGCCAACAGTTCTTTAGCCGGCTTAGGAGCCGTTTCTGCTTTACTTTCAGTCATTTCGATGAATTAACCTTACTGACACGGGACATAGATTGTAAACTCTCTACGCACCACGCTAGTATCTTTATCCGGTTGCCCATGTGGTGACAACCAAAGAAGTGCGGACGGAAGGTTGCTTTGAGCGTTGGCCACAGTCGTGCGCTCTGCACAGCGCCATCTACAGACACGGAGGATTGGCAGTCCAAAGCAGAGCCTTCGGTGTAAATAAGGTATTGATTTCTGCCATCATTACTTAAGTATGTTTTCCATTATCAAGTGTTTTTCATGATTAGTACTTATCTACTCAATATGAAATATAATTTTCTGCAGAATACTGTAGCTTAGAGTATTTGCACAAATCACGTGCCTAAGGTATTGTAATTCATTACATGTACAGTATATATTATTATTACTTTATTTGAATAGCACCTTTCATACAATAAATGCAGCTCAAAGTGCTTTACAGCAAAGAAATGGAATGCACAGAGTGCTTCACATTAAAAAAGACACAATACATAGTTTTGGAAATGAATTTCTTTAAATTATTTTGAAATAGTTATTATCTTATAGTTGTGAGATAGCTCATTATTAAATAATAATAAGAGTTTTATGTGTTCTTCATGACTTATTATCAAATGGCTGAAATGGGCTTTAAAAAAAGATCTATACAAGAATAGACACACACACACACACACACAAACAAAAACAAAAAAAAACTGGGGGTTACTTTCAATTAATTACTCCTACTATCATTTGGAAAAATGTTACAGTGTGAAAGAGGGAAAGGGAAGGAGGAGCACAGGGGAGGTGGTGAGAAGGCAACAAGGGGGTGGAGAGTTTACCAGTAAAATAATGAGGTGAGACAGACATTAGCCTACATACAGATCAGCAGTGCGCACAGCAGCTTCAGTTGATCTGGTTTCATGACATGGCAACGAAAATCATCTACTTCACAGTGAATGGGAGACCAGAGAAGGCTGAATTCCCGATGGACTGCCCTGCTCAGGATGTCAAAGGTAGGAGCAGAAGATGATGTTACTGTTTAAATTTATTTAACTTGTTATTATAGATTATAGAAATTTGAGTAGCATTGTGACAGACAAATATTCTAACAGCTTTGTTGTAAACCAAACAAGTAAACCACCCTGACAAGTGCATGAATTAGATGCATGGGTCATTCATTACACAAGCAGATGAAAGATGTGTGTTACAGAGGTTGTCTAAGCTCCACACAGCGATTCAGCTGCCACTGACAGCTCATCACCTGTCAGATCGGCTTCACGTGTTCTTTATGTATGCTTTGTTTGAAGTGCTGAGGAAGACAAAAGAAAGCACCATACTGAAGATTTCTAACATAATGTGAATGAGCACAGATTCTTCAGCAGCAGTTGTTTGTTATTTGGAGTATTCTTATTCTAACTGTGGCAGTCTTATATAAAAGTGGTACCACTTTCTAATACAGTACATTTGAAGGATTTATAAGTTGTAACTATATGCTTTTATTAATGCTAATAAATACTTTACAAATACTTAAAGATCAGTTACAAGCCATTGTTAAGAACCATTTTTGGGTTGACAAGTTGTGAAAAATCCCTTTGGTCTATGTTTATCCTTTCTATTTGGCAATTTTGCTTTTATAGATGATGGTAGTTCACTAATAAGTTGTTAGAAATTAATTTTAGTACAGATCCTCTGGATCCCTTTTCCAGAAGGTAAATGCTCATGCAGCCTTACTAGTTTGATTATAATAACGGTATAATTGATCTATAATGCTTCATTAAACTATTTATTAACAACGAATAAAGCAATTAGTTACAACCAGACACCCTGGCTCCACATTGCATCACGGTTCTTGCTATGGATGGTTAAGCACTTATTGTTAGTATCTTCAAAAAGTGGTACCTACAAGCATGACAAAAAAAAAATCATAGTTCAAAGACCACTTACTAGTTTTTCCCAGCACTTTGAATCACACCCATGGTCTTCCTCAGCGATTTAGTGTGTCTCTATAAAAATAACAGTAATACATAAAAAAAAAATTCTCTTTGCATAGTGTGAAATGAACAGTGAGACGTTCTTTCCAGATCTGTTCCGCTCTGCAGCCGAGGCAGGACCCCATGACATCCTGAAGCTGTACAACCCCAAAGGCAACATCATCAACATCTCCCCGAGTCTGGAGCCCAACAGCCCAAACTCCTGCTACAAGCTGGAGGTGGTGGCCGCCGAGTGCAACAGTGAGCCGTTAGGTATCTTTAACTTAGCACCATGGGAATCACAGTGCTGGGGTTTATTTAAAAAACGTTGACAGTCTCCCTCTTCTCCTGTCACTTCAGGTGCAGAGCTTGCTGGTGCGCTCGGATTTGACCTCTTATCCATGGAGAAAAGGTAGGCAAGGTGGGAAGCAAGAGAAACAGGATATACTTGAGGAAAAGTATAGCTTATTTAATGTGAAAGGTGGAAAAGTCTGGCGTTTCTTTGCATTATGCTTTTAAAAAGGAGGCCAGATAGACCGTGAATTAGAGACTTTGAATAACATGATCCAAAGGTGTAGATAAATGACTTAACACTGTGCGGGTGGTGTGTGAGCTCAGACTGCAGGGCCTGGAGAAGAAAATCCTGATTGAAGCCGGTGAGACCCCTGCAGTTGTGTATGAGATGAAGAAACAGGTGGATCGATTCCGGGACAAACTAGAGGTAGGGGACAAAGTACTTGGGGGCTTTAAAGCTGTTCATGAAATTTGGGGAAAAGAACATGGAACTTATTAATATGCATAGGGAGTTTGTTAATCCTAATCAGAAAAAACATCTCTATCCTGAGCCAACAGTCAGGTATTGTATTGCCTTTCTAGCTCAACCTCAAACAGATACAGTTAGCGACTAGCAGCTGAACACAGCATTCAGCAGCTAAAGAGGTATTTACCAAAGGAGTTGGTGGAGACCGAAACAGAAACATGATTTCCATGAATTCTTTTGTAACGACATTCAGGGTTCCCATGAACTGTCCTGACTTTTGGTGATCCCCTGACATTTTCCCTACTGCTAGTGAGATTAACATTTGTGGTGTTTAGTGAATGCCTCAATCTCTTAATCTCATTGGTACAGCAAAAACAGAGCACACTGAAATCAGTAATGATAATGTAAATGACAATTGATTTGTAATTCCTGGCCTGAATTTTGAAGGGTCAATCTGGGGATTTGATGTGATGATCGATGTGTTTCGCTGGATCCTCATTCCTTTCCAGAGTGTGGAGCATCTGAGCTGGCTGGGATTATTTAAAGATCTGTCAGAGGGAACACACAAGCCCTCCCCATTTTACCACAAGAGAACCCTACGAAAAACCAGGAAGGAGTGTGAGCATGTACGGGAAAAGTTTCTTCAAATGAGGCACGTTCACGTTCCTGCAAAACTCAAATAAATAATGCCCTCCGTATTATATATTATATCTTTGAATAACAGTAATCATGTGCATTTGTTGTTACATTTGCAGCTCCCTGGAGGTATCAGACGAAGTGAGGCAGTACTTAAAGACCCCAACCTTTGATAACTGGTAAGTTTCCACCTGGCCAGTAGAAATCTGGAGATGCTTTAATGTCAAACAACCAGTGCACCTGTTTCCTTAGTGCACAGCGCTTAATGACAGTTGGGCCCAACGAGCATCTCTGACGCGTTTCTGAAGAGGATAGGAGCCGTCACCCTTTTCTTCTGGTGGACAAACTCATCTTAATATGAATAGGCCTGCAAAGGGCTCACAAATCAAAAGAAGGTCTTCATAAAAGGCTTAATCAACAAACCATGTTTGAAGTGGCCTTCATTTGGAGGAAGTGCATTCTGCATTCAGAAAGGCTTGGCCATCATTTCATTTGTCTGAAAGCTTTTAAAGCAAACCCCTAATGATGGCCTTGGACATGTGATTACGCACACAGGCTCCAGAAGGAGACCTGAAGCTTGGGGTGTCATATAACAATCAATAAATCAATAGATTCCTTTGAATCCCATGTGCTTTTCTATGGGCTCTGCTATGTGGCATTTTAAAGGACAAGGCTGACATTCTTCTACATTTTTGTCAACAAATCCCTTGAAAAAAAACAAAACCAACAATGGTGTTTTTCAACACTTTCTTTCTGTGGCACTCAGCCTCAAGTTATTCCTAATGAAGACATACATCTTTAAAAAACAGTCCACGATATAAATGACTCAGTAATTTGCTAAAACTACTGAGCACTGTAATTGTTAGCATTTTTAACATGTACACAGGACTAAATAGTGCATTTGTTTTAATAGTTTTGGACAATGGAGCTCCACCGCACAGAGGAAGAAGATATATCTGGCTTTAGATACACACAATACTTGTTTTAATAATAATAATAACAATAATAACTGTGGTTGGGTTGTGTGGAAGCTTTTCTTGCAACAAACCAGCTAACTGTGGCATGCTGTTGAGTCTGATAAGTGAAAATATACATTTTACACATTTCAGTGGGTGAGATGCCTTTATTAACCTTTTTGGGTTCTATCCAAGCATTAATATTTATAACCAGCTTCCATTGTTGTCATTTTTCCACCCATTAATGTATTATGTTTTGTTGTTTTACATAGAAAGACTAAAAACTAAAACATATAAAATACGAAGGATCTGTTTCAAAGACTTTACTGTCACTGTTATCCAGGATGTTGCAACTTGAGAAACTGCTTATGTTTAATAATACTGCATGTACCATATAGATGGACATTTTAACCATTTGTTTAAAAATGTTTCCTCGCAAAGACATTTTGTGTGTGTGTGTGTGTGTGTGCAGGCAGTGGGAGGACGCAGAGATAATGGTGCTCCTGCATGTCATGTACGCAGATTTAGATTTCATAGCGACCTTCAACATTGAGCCTGAAGTCCTGCAACAGTTCCTGTTTGAAGTCTATCAAAGATACAACAACATCCCTTTCCACAACTTCAAGCATTGCTTCTGTGTTACCCAGATGGTGAGTGTGTGTGTGTGTGTGTGTGCGCGTGCCATAACGTTGATGGCACATTGGTGTTAGAGAGATGACTCTAATCACTGGACAACTCTACAGGTTAGGCAGTTATCGCAACATATCCATGAAGGATTACATCTGATGGTCGAATTCTTGCCTTCAACATTTGTACAAAAATAGCTAAGGCTTAAAGGATTCATTCTCACCTGCATTTATCAATATTTTCTAAATATTGTGATCTGATAAAATATTTATAATCAGATGACTGTGTAAAGTAAAAGGTTTGGCTCATCTGAACAAAATCACAGAATCAGTACCCAACTCTACAGTTCTTTAAGGGCCTTTGCGGGTAGGAAGAGAGGCAGGAGCAATCTGAGAAGAGGAGCAACCAAGGAGCGACAAGCAGGCGCAATCCCTGCTTTTAACCCTCTTTTAGCTCATTGGTTTGGTTTAAAGGTTCAGTGTGTAATATTTTAT